ACTAGAAAATCGTTTTGAATTTCCATAAATTCGAATTTCTATAAACTGGAAATTCCTCCTCGAGTTTCCAACTTTCTAGAAAATAAAATGGATTTCCACATTCTTGGGAATTATTTATAGAAATTCGATCGATTTTCCAGAAACTGGAAATTCACCCAGGAATTTCTAAGCCAACTACTTATTCACCTTTTTGTTTTGCAATCAGTGTAAGTATAAGAGCGTCACATAAAGACACTCATATCACACTTAAATCAGCTTTGACAGTTTCCATTTTATTTTTTCACTTACAATAGAGTTGCTCCCAGAAAAAACTAGGTCGAATTTACTGTAACCAAAGTTCTAGTCTTCTTTGTTCAACGATGACGATTCTGTGCTCCACACTTGTCCACTAGCCACGACGATACATATACCATTCGATAGAGAATTTCCCGCGCTACAATTTCATGTATTTAATATAAAAAGAATGCCTAATTTGAGAAAAGGGCTCTGTCAGATCCCAGAGCTGGATATGCTCTTTCAATCAAAAAAAAAAGTTCTCTACCATGAAGCACTGTCCAGAATTCTTGTTTCGACTATTTGCGAAATAGTGCTAGAACATAGTTATTGCCGATTAAAAAAAGAATGGGCTTGGCCGTTTTTTGAATAACTTTTGCTAGAAAGTAGCTAGAGAGCTCCGGTTTTCACCATTCGAAAGAGAAGACTTGGGGACATGTTTCCATAGCCAAAACTTTTTCAGAAGAGTTTTATGAAACAGATTTTCTAGTAGGTCTCTGGAAAACTACACCACCTATAACAGTTTTCCAATCGAATTGTATTGATTCTTTTTCACGAACTGATAGCTCAAAGTGCTCTCTTCAAGATGGGAGTCGAGCGACACCTTGATTTTCCGCGGTTCGAGCCTTGTATCGTATTTCCTACGACTCTCAGGACCGACACTCATTGACTATTGGTAGCCTTGAAAACGGATGGACTATAGGTAATCGATAACGCTGAGTCTCGAGGTAATATTTGGTTTTAGAAAAATTTTTAAAAATCCATCGAAAGGCGAGTTTTACGAAAAGTAGGGTTTTTCGGCTGTTTTCACCTAATATTAAAAAATTCAATATTCACTCAAAAAACATCAGAACGAGTTCAAAACTTCAGAATGTAGACTATTTAGGTTATTGTATATCTGATTTATAGGAGATCTTGAAAGACATTGTACAAAAGTCTAAGATTTCCCAAAAGGATTTCTGGAAAACCTATTAACAAAAATAAACTTTTGGATTTTCTTGAACTTATAATACGTTAAGCGGACAAAATTAATCATATCCTGAGGTTTTGAACTCCTTTTGATATTTTCTGAGCGAGTTATGAAATTTTTAATATTAGGTGAAAACAGCCGAAAAATCCTACTTTTCGTAAAACTCTCCTTTCAGTAGGTTTTTCAAATTTTTTCTAAAATCAAATATTACCACGCGACTAAGCATGATCGATTACCTATAGTCCATCCGTTTCCAAGGCTACCAATAGTCAATGAGTGTGTCAGTCCTGAGAGTCGTAGGAAATTTGATACTAGGCCCGAACCGCGGAAAATCAAGGTCTCGCTTGACTCTCATCTGGAAGAGAACGCCCTGGGCTATCAGTTCGTGGAAAAGAATCAATACAATTCGATTGGAAAACTGTTACATACAACCTAATTTTTTTTTTTAAACTTGTTCTTGTTTATTAAAAATAGTTGTATTTAACTTTAACAAACAAACGCAGCTATGCTTGCAGACAAGTCTATGTTGCGTAGTGCATAAAACGCTCAACTAAAAACCTAGCAAAATTACATTTTTTATTTTTTTTAGACCTAATTTTCTAGAGAGCTCCTAAAAAACCTGTTTCATAAAACTCTTCTGAAAAGGCTTTGCTTACGGAAACATGTCCCCAAGTTTCCTCTTTCGAATGGTGAAAACCGGAGGTACTTTCTAGCAAAAGTTATCCTAAGGATAGCCGTGCCCATTCATTTTTTCAATCGACAATAGAGAAAACATGAATTTGCATAAAAATCAATTCGCTGACCAACAAACCATACTGATTATGAAAGCCTACACTTCAAGCGATCCAACCCTATGCCTATCTCAAAATCGACTTTTTAGCGAAAATTGACCTTTTTTGAGAGGAGAGGAGGCCTTACAGCAACAGTGAGAGACGAGAATTTATCAAAAAGCTGTTTCTGTTAACTTGAAGAGAAGGTAAAAAGCATGAGATGTGAGACAGTGATGATATATCCATAGGCTTCCCTCCCACAAAGCAGATAGGCAAATATCAGGTGGTTATCAGAATGAATAAAGCATTTTTCTAAAACAAATTTTGTGAAATCTGCAATTTCTTTGCTGTTTGCTTGTTTCTCTTTGCCTCACATGAAACTTTCATTTATTTCTTTAATGTGTCTTACGAATAGACGAAAGAAAGGAAGAAAAATATGAAATAAATAAAAGTATAAGTTTCGTCTTAACATTTTTTTCGTAAGAACACATGTCTTGCTATATATCAAACGTAACAACGAAAGAAAACTATAATAGCCAGACACAAGACGAAAAAATATAACGTTATTCTTTCATCTCATCATCGTTGGTTTGATTTTTCTTCTTTTTAAAGTTTGATTCTGGTAATGTTTTACGAGTAAATAATAGACACCAACCCCAAGCTTTATTCAAACGTTTTCTATTGTAATCAGTTAATATCTGAACGGCTGATTGACATTCTTGTTGAAATTTTAACCAATTTGAAGCAGAAACATGAGATGACAGATTATGCGAATGTTCAAATGGATCCTGAACTAATAGAATGGGGCCGGATAAGGGTTGTTGTTGTCCCTCACTATTCACACCAGACCATACGGACACAGAATACTTTGCTGAATCCAATGACGAATAATATGAGAAAAACGATTGTAACATTTGCTCTGAAACACAGGCAAAGAAGATCCGGGTAACTAAAGAATAGATTAAACATATAGACAGAACATACCTAACGTACAATCTGAAACTGATTGAAAAACACTTTTCACTTGATTAACATCCGGTACCGAACAATTCCACGGACCATGTGTACGCTGATTGGCTAAAAATTCGAGAGTATGAGCAGTTGATAGAAGGAGTAGATAGATCCGTACTATCAGCTTAGGAAAGACTAGACTTTTTCAATTTAATAACTGGTCTCACCATGCACTCCAAGACTTTCAAAAATCGCAACAGGTGAAACAACTTCTCACAAAATGATAAAAAGTTCAAGATCAAACACATAAAAATATACTTTGATATGTGACTATCCATTGCGTAAAAAGTTTGGTTTCAACTAATAAGCATTATTGGAAAACATGTAGGAGAAAGTTAGCCTCGAACTTCGGGTGGTAAAGCAAAAAAAGTTTCTTTTTCTACATCCAACAGCGATATAATTAAAAATAGCGCTAATTCTGAATCTAGGCTTTTTGACATATGTAATAGGGAAAGAATCTTACTTTTCGACCGCAGACTAGAGGAAAAATCACAATTTTCCAAAAGGTATAAGTTTTCGTACAGACATATTTTGTAGAATGTTTCCCCTTATACAAAATTTATCAAATTTTAGCACATTGTTCCTCTATCTACACTACATTGATACTGCATGCGCAACTGTTCCTATGTCGAGATACAAATTTTCTAAAACGTCTTGGCTTTTCAAATGAAATAAGGAACATTTGTGACAAAAACTAATGACATATTCGAAATCAGCTCGTCGAACTGGATCGAACCATGCATCACACGATAAGTTTTGGATCGCACAAATATCTATCGAAATTTTCTCATGAATGAACCTACAAAAATGATTTTTTCTGAACTCTATCAAGTTATTTTTTCTTTAAAAGCATCGTAGATGACTAAAGAATGATAAATTATCTACGAAAAGACCAGTTTACGACCAACAACTTCTGAGGTCCGCCTGCTCTTAGAAAAATGCACACTGTGCTGCAAAAATGCATGGGTGCTCTCAGTATCATAGGCGAATGATGATTAATAAAATTCAGAAATTGCGTAGGTTCGTGAAGAGAATTCGACAGTTCAAATCCAGTTATTATAACTTAAATTTCATTATTTTTTCGCTCACTGGCAATCCACTTTTTGAAAGATCGGTGTGGTACACCACGGTGACACTTTTTTTATCGTTAATCATACGTCTATGCAGTCAGGTCTTGGCCACAAAATGATTCCATTTTTCTTACGATGAAGTACATTGAATACTTAAAGATAACACACAATAGATTTTCTAAAAGTGGTGTAATTTTGTAGTATTCTCAAGGGGGAAAAAGCATACTTCTGTACTTCTCGGTACTTCTCGTACTTCTTCATACTTCTTCGTACTTCTTCATACTTTTTTGTACTTCTCCGTACTTCTGAAGTACGAAGTACGAAAGGAGGATTTCGTATTTCGTATTTCGTACTTCAGAAGTACGGAGAAGTACAAAAAAGTATGAAGAAGTACGAAGAAGTATGAAGAAGTACGAGAAGTACCGAGAAGTACAGAAGTATGCTTTTTCCCCCTTGAGTATTCTACTCATTATCCTGTTCATACTCTATCAAGTTATGTCTTGTCAATGATCCTCGATTTTCATATTTGTTCGTGTATCATAACACAAAAAGAGCGAGAAAACATAATACTACAATGTGTCATATAAATATAAAACTTCTTTCTCTTACCAGATAATTGAACTAACATTGAAACACTCGGTAAACGTTGCTCTTGTTGTAAAACGAATACAAGCATCCAGAAAAGAGTGTACGTATTAAAACGTGTTCCTTTTCCAAATAAATCTTTTTGTTTCGTCCATAATCGAACTGTATATAACAATAAACGAAGATTGGGCTCTAATTCAAGATAAAGTCGAATCAATTCCGTATTACAAATAGCCAGACTAAGGATATAACACAAGAAATCACGAAAACGTTGTTTATATGATTAATAAGAAACGTTGTATTTATATTTACTGATTATTAATGGAAAGTTCGCAAAATAATTTTTGTTGTTTATGACAAAAACGTACAAGTGGACAACGTGCATGACATATGCGTTGAATGTGACACACGTAGGGTGCATGACTACGAAGCAAACGGCCAATATAATCGAGACGATCAGCAACAGATTGTTGGAGAAGTTCATTGGCTGAATAAATAACGGACAATGGTGATGATCTTGAGGATGATGCTTCGTTACTTGACGAATTATTTCTCACTGCCTACGAAGAAAAACAAGAACTTACTCAATAGTCGAAATACTAGAACTTTAGATTAACATACCGGTATTTCGTTACCATTTTCTACGTCCATTTCTGACTCATTTGAATTTTCAGCGTTAGTATTACTATTAATGAGACTACGTATGCTATCATCACTACTGAATGATTGATGATACGGTTGTGGTTCAATGTACGTATCATTAAGTACAAGAACTAAATCCATATCAGATAAAACCGTTGCTAAACCATTAGCCATTGAACCGGTTAAATGCAGTTTTGAACCTACAATTAGAAAAAGTTTCAAATGTCCGATAAGCAAAAACAGAAAAAGAAGCGCTAAATAAAAACCGTGAAAGTGTTTTGAAAATAAATTTTGTAATTCCAAATAAAATTGTTCACGTTGACGAAAGTCAACATCGGCCATTTTTTCATATTCAACCACTAATTTGGCTTGTTCTTCAACCTAAAAACAAACAATTTGCTTTTTGATTAGGAATCTAGAATAAAAGCGGTTCACTGCTTCGTTCATGAATCTTATTTTTTGCCTGATGTATGGTTAGTAAACGCTGATGGTGTTGATCCAAAACAATTAACCAAGGAAGAAATGTCTAGACAGAATTTAGCAGATTGAACTTACCGTTGAACATTTGTTGAGTGCATGAACCATTTGTGTATGTTTTTCAATTTCTGTATCTTTATTTAGCTTTAAAAATTCTTGTTTACTCAATATCATCTTTTTAGCTTGAAATGGATGTTGAGCACGTGCTTTTACTTTTAATCGATCATTTTGAATTTTATGTTCATTCCGGAACGCTAAGCATCGTTCAACTGATTCAAGATTTTCATATTCAATAATGGCATAAACATGCTAAACAAATAACAATAGCAACATCATATTTTACATGAAATAAATGAATATTTCTCTTATCTCCAATTCTGACTTTCAAAAGAAAGTCTGACTACTTTTTAAATATTTCATTCGTATAACTTTACATTAAAGGAACCGACTTTGTAAAAATATCATTGAACATTTATTTACCTTTTCTTTGTCCATAAAACAATTGTTAATACTTCCAAACTGAGAAAAATAATTTTTTAATTGTTCATCATTATGTTCCTGTTTAATTCTCGACACATAAATACTTGATAGTTGTGAATATTCGTAACGTTGTCTAGCAGCTACGATCGCCTGATGTTTTTTACCTTTATCATGCTCAGCCAACACACGTTCTATAACAAAAAACCAATAATTAGTTATCAATCTCAAAGGAAAAAATGTCTAACTCACCATCTGGAACAGTAACGTTGCAGATCTCACATTTTAAAACCATTTTAATGGCAGAAGTCGTTTTCACTACAAAATTATCTATAAACAGCGTTTCTCATTACGATGCTAGTATGCAAAACTGACAAATCAACCGAGAAAAATGGCTATCAGAGAAAGTTAAAATAGTTATAAAACTCTGAAGTATTCGGACGATACCGAGCATAGAAAATAGTTGCAGTATTGCTACAGCTATAGATTGATTAACTGACTTATTATCCTTACTAGTCATACTATACATTACAGATGTTTAATATAATTGAAAAGTATTTTCTTATAATCATTGTACATAACATTCGAGCTTTCGACATTTCCAAGCTCCCTCATTTTTACCTAATTTATTCGCCTAATTGCTTTGTGTTTTACTCCCTACACTTTGACAATTCCACTTCTTAACTGATATGATATGAGTATGCCTTTCAGTCGTTGTTTCCTTTTAGCTCCAAATCGTAGATTCAAGGAGAGACTAACTACGTCAATTTGCATTGATCTTGCTTAGCTCCTTGGAGCTAAAACAAAATACTCATAGACCACTTGTAATTAGTCATCCATACTCTACGTTTACTGGTGATAGTCATAACCAGTGAGACAGAAAAGCGGCAAGTTCAGATCAGTAAATTCGAAATATAGCAGCCCACTTCTTGGTATTTTTCTTAAAAGATGCACAATAATATCTGATTGCAGTGAAGCATACTGTTTCATGTTTAACTATTCACGTGAGAATTGAAAAGAGGCAAAAGTAAGTAAGATATGGCGAATGCTAAAGTCATCGGTAAAAACGAACAAAGACAACAGTTTTTCTACATGCTGTGTTTTTGCTGTGCTTTCAAGATAAATCTTGTTTCCTCAGCCGAACTAATTTAGAAATGCTGCATGAAAATATTCGCTAAAACTATTCGTGCCATTTCTCGGATGGCGCTTCTTCAACAACTTTCACATTCTATTTTTGTTTCTCAGTAGCATTTTTGAGACTAAGAGTACTTTATTCACGAAAGTTGGCAATTTCAAATTTCGAAGAAATATTATTATGATCTGCATACATAACGCGTAATTGATGAGCAGCTTAAAGAAGAAAAGCGTTTCTGAGCGATAAATCCGTTTGTCCACCGCACTCTTAATAACACTTGTCGAAAATATTTTCTGAAACTTTCATTGTATATAAGTTTTGTACGTATAAGTTGTTATAAGTTAACCTTTTTTCGTGAGAAAGTCAGTGCTTCCCCACAAGAACTTCATCCTTCTTCTAAAGAAACTCGATAGTTCTCCACAAAAGCTTCAGTTTTCTTATTGAGAAACTCGATGGTTTCCCACAAGAAAGTCATCTATCTTCCTAGGAAATTCTATGGTTCCCCAGAAGAAGCTCACCTTTTTCGTGAGAAAGTCGATGCTTTTCCACAAGGACTACATCTTTCTTCCCGAGAAATGCAATGGTTGTATATAATACTTCACCTTTTTCGATGGTTACCCAGAAACAATTCGTCTTTCTTGCTCATAAAATCGATGGCGCCCCATAAGAACTTCGTCTCTCTTCCTGACAAACTGCACGGCTCCCCATAAGAAACTCATCTTTCTCCTTCATACACTTGATGGTTATCCACAAGAACTCCCTCTCTCTTCCTCATAAGCTCGATGGTCCTCCACCAGGACCTCATCTTTCTTTTTAAGAAACTCGATGGTTCTTCCCAAGAACTTCACCTTTTTTCGTAAGAAAGTCGGTGCTTCCCACAAGAACTTCATCCTTCTTCTAAAGAAACTCGATGGTTCTCCACAAAAGCTTCAGTTTTCTTATTGAGAAACTTGGTGGTTTGCCAGAGGAACTTCATCTTTCTTGCTCATCAACTGGATGGTTCTTCACCTTTTTTCGTGAGAAATTCGATGCTTCTCCACAAGAACTTCATCTTTCTTCATACATACGTGGTATTTTGAAACAACTACTGTTGTTTTGATGTGGTCTGTTTTCTTGTTTTCGTCGGTATTTTACATAGGCTGGAACTTTAGATGCTGCAGCTACTTCTGTTGTTCGTGTTTCGATTTTAACGTTAACTGCAGTATTTCCTTTCAGATCTGAAGCTTAGATGGTGAGTGTAAGAGGTAGTTTTCTTTGCTAAATAACGCATCAGGTATGAACAGTAGTGAAAGTAATTACCATCACGTAAATCGAACACTGCAGTATCACCTTCAGGGGCGCAAACAACAAGAGGGTGCGCATCCCCCGAATAATTGAAAAACCTGTTGTTATTTTATCCATTACTCCTCGCACAAAATTTTTTTATTCATCTCACACTACCTCAGCGAGAAATTTTGCTTTACACCCCCTAATATTCGGCTCCTATTTACGGTTCTGATCACCTTTCGTCATCTTTGGTTCTAAATTAGAAATAACCATGTGTTAGTGGACAAAAAACGACTCTTACATCTTTATTGTCCGAATAAACAAGTTAGAGATAGTAAAATTGTGTTTAAAATTTTGTTGTGTTTATGAAGGCAGATCATGCGCAATTAAGTCAACAGAAATGATAAACAACTGCAGAAAAACAGTTTATTGGTTTTTTCGGCATAATGTGACAAGAAGCAGAAGTAGCAGCAGCTGCAGTAAGGACGATCGCACAGTTAAATAGCGGCTGACCTTTTTGATAAATCCAAAATGTTTGAGTGTACTATAACTCGTAACGATTCCTGTAACATTTCTAGCTGTAAACAGAAGAGGGTTAGAAGAAAGTGTATTTAATAGATAGGTACTAGATGATTACCTAAGATTTCTATGTCCTCTTTTATTGTGGGCATTGTTAGATATACTAGAAAAGTGTTTGATCTGGAAAAAAAAGAGTGAAAGACAGTTTAGAAATTTTCGTTTGTGCCATGCAGTTTCACCTAATGATGATGCTTTTGGAGAATGAAGAGAAGAAAAATATATTTTTGTGGTATGCTGGTTTCCACTTTGATGTCTATTAAATCAGTTGAATTATCATAGGAGAAAAGCGACTTAAACTACCCACAGATGGTTTGTTACGGTTATCGTACACGGGTTGTATACGTCCGTATACGATTCGAATACGGTGTCTTTACGGTCGTAAACGATTAAATACGGGCCGTTTACGCACCGTATTTTACTGTAAAAAACCAGGCCGATATTTTACGACCGTATTTACGCCGTACTCTATACGGCGCATTTACGGCTTAAATAAGATCATCGTATATGACTGTAAGCATATCGTATATATAGGCGCTTGACGGTCTGGAATTATACGAACGATAGCTTTGCTTTCGTCTAATTAATATTAGTTAATTACGTAAGAATTCATCAGATCTTATAAGATTATGTGCCTGATCGTGTTCTATAAATTTCCTTTAGACCCTCTTAAAAAGTATCTTTCTCTATTCATAATATTTTCTGGCACAGATAGGCCAGAACGACCACAAACGTCCTTAGGATCGTGTTTAACCACGTTTCTCATAGCCATGCACTTTGTTTGCGCTCAGCTGTTGTTTGAAGACGAAGAAAGCAAAAAATTCTAAGTTTTATCATAAGAACTATATGTTATATAAATACTCAATATCATAGCAAAATTTATGTGGTAAGAATGATTCATCCTTTCTTGCAAGATCATATACACATCGCGCATACGGCAGTCGAATACCGCGCATTTACGTAGCACCGCAAACGAACACCATACACGGCACCATATTATACCGTAATTGAACCGTAATACGGTCACCGCGTCTCCAGGCCGAAAATCACCGTAATTTAGCCGAATACGGCCATTTACGTACCGTATTGTTCGCCCTGGGTACGTCTCTTTAACAAGACAGTTAAGTGAAGAATTTAAGAAGTCAGCAATTTAAAATAAATTATAAGTCTAAGAATCTAATGTGAAATAAAAATCCAAAAAAAACTAGTATATTAGTAGTATAAAGATGAAGCTAGTACTATATTAATGATTCAGATTTGAATGTTCAAGATTTGTCGTGCGTATGAACTGAAAGGATTTTGTAATTCGAGTGTGATAATATTACACAGATAATATCTGTTGCGTCACCGTCAGTTGGAACCTGTAACAGTTGCACGATTTTCAATATGACACCCATTTGTGGCTACATTTCAAACGTATGTTCACCTAGAGTGTAAATTCAAGAAAAGTTTTAAAACTTAAACTACACAGCGGTAGAATGATCGAGTACGGTCTCTCTAGGTCAGAAGTGGTGAACCGGTCCAACTTTTAGATAATAAGGGTGCACTTATAAGGCGTCCGGTAAGACATCGCAAGTTTTGGCAAAATTCTCAAACGAAAATCAGATCTCATCCTACGAATGAATGTTAGATATTTTCGATAGAAACTGATAGTTAACATAGTACAGCACTAGAATTCTCAAAATTCTCAACTTGCAAGACAAGCCTCGATTTGCACTAGAATTCTCAAAATTCTTAAAACTCTTAATTTGCAAGACAGGTCTCGATTCGCATTAGAATTCTTAAAATTCTCAACTTATAATACAAGTCTCGATTTCTCAAATTGTTAAAATTCTCAAAACTCTGCACTTGCGAATCAGGTTTCGATTTGCACTAGAATTGTTAAAATTCTCAACTTGTAAAACAAGTCTCGATTTCCACTACAACTCTCAAAATTCTCAAATTGTGAGATAAGTCTCGATTTGCAGTAGAAATCTGACAATGGTCAGAATCCTGAACTTGCGAAACAAGTGTCGATTTGCAAGAGAATTGTCAAAATTCTCAACTTTCAAGACAGGTCTCGATTCGCACTAGAATCCCTAAAATTCTCAACTTGCGAAAATATTCTGGATTTGCACTAGAATTCTCAAAATTCTCAACTTACAACACACTGAGGCTCTCTTAATTTGCAAGACGGGCCTCGATTTGCACTGGAATTCTCAAAATTCTCAACTTTCAAGACTGGTCTCGATTCCCACTAGAATTGTTAAAATTCTCAACTTATAACACAAGTTTCGATTTGCACTACAATTCTCAAAATTCTCTATAATTCTCAACGTGCAAATCTCTCTCTTCCGTTTATTTTCTGTGTGGGTATATATAGTCACGTATGGGCAGTTGCCAACATTTGTCAACATCGCTTCTTGTAAGACTTTTTAGAAAAAAAATATACACTATATACAGCGTTTTTGTTGATCACACATGCATTTTCAGTTCAGTGGCATTGGTTGCAATTAACATTAGTGAGCCTAGTAACAGATGCTGTTTTGTGTTCATGTTTCTCTGAAACAACTATAGTAGTTTCAGAAACATGCAATCTGCTTTCCTTATTTGAATGATATAAGCAGAGAGAAGTTAAATTCATGGTGAATTTTACTTTTTCGAAAAAGAAACATGTGTTTTCTGATGTATTTGAAAAACTCATTTTTCAATTCCCCTCTCTGGCTTCCCTAATGGACACTTCAATGACCATGCTATTTTTTACGATCTCCTTTCCACCTATCTCTTGTGAAATTTTTTAAAGTCAGTTAATTGAGTCGTAAACGCTTTAGCCGATATATATTATAATGCATTTCACGAAAAGTATCCTCGAAAAGTATGTTCGTAGAAAAAGGAATCTAAAAGCAAAAGTCAATTTGTTTGCTTTTTTTGCTAACTTATTGCTTTTGTATGTCATATATCTCGGAGACGCAACGATGAGAAAAAGTACTTTTTTTTATCAACCGTTAGCTTGTGAGATTTGCTACGAATAACGCCTTGAAAGGCTTTGAATTTGATGCTTCGTTTATTTTCTGGAACATTTCTACACAATTGGAAATAATATTTTTCCAGAGGGGTAGAGCTGAAACTACAGATGATATAAAAATGTATTATATACCAAACTAATGCTCATCTAAAATGGAATTGATCTGTATGACTGAGATTCCGTATGACGATTATTGACTGTAGAACTATGGAAGTTTCTATCGAGTGCATCATAATGAATGAGCCTCTCAGTATTTTCTATTTTTCTCGTGTACGTTCAGAATCTCGCGGTTAGTGTTTTTTTTAAAAGATGCGCCACGAAATATTCTACAAAACCATACCTAAACTTTAATTTTAGAACTTTAATCAAGGAAACTACGTAAATTATACGAAAGGCGAAAAAAAATAAAAACTTTGTATAGTTGGTATTTTTTCGACTTGACTTTTTTCTTCAGCAATTATTCACGCAAAAGAGTGTAGCAAAAGTGAGAGCTCAGTTCTTTTTGTACGTCTGAACATGCTGTTTCCTCTGGCCTGTGAAAAATGTTTTTTAGAGCAGATGGTGAGCAGGAGAACTAAGTTTCAAAAATTTTTCCTCATTTTCAGCAATGTGCCGAAGTAAGAAATGGAAAATCTGAGCGATGTTTTGATTTCAGAATTAGTAATAGAAAAGCAATCATTCCTGATCAAAACAAAACAAACTCGATCGAAAAAGCGTTTGTTTTGTTGAAGTTACGGGACTTTTACTCAAAGCACTGCTACACCATTGTTGAAGGTGGTTTAACGCAATGAACGAAATATATTAATACTATTTTGCATAGCGGTCTTATGCCTGGCTCAGATAAAAATAAAAACATTTCGAGTAATTACTTCCTGTTTTACATTTTAAATTTATAAAATGATCGTATTAGACTCTCTTGATTCAGAGTTTTATGCTGAGTTTTCATATTGATATACATAGCCTATAGTAGTGTATTAAGCTTGGAGTAAGTGGAAGAATGTTGAATTGTTCACTATTGATACCCTTTCTCTTTCCATTATTTGATGTGATAACGTAAGTGTATCAACTATTGAACCGTGAAAAGTTCGAAATCGTAGTCCTATCAATACATGAACTTTTGAACTATACTCACATTTTTGAATAATCTTATTTGGAAGAGCTTTACAAGTATGTCAGACATTCGTGAGTGTGAGACAGCAGAAAAATCGCAAATGGATCGATCTGAACGTGAGTTACAAGAGATGCAGGCTAACTAAACTAGAGAACGATAGAATTAAATGGATTAGAAATGAACTCGAAATTGTACGAAATGAAGAACTTGAGAGAAGAATTCAGTACGTTAGAAATGAGTTAAATGCTGTACGATAACAGGATGATGATGATCGTCGGAAACAACATGCTTTGATAAAAGAACAAGATGGAAAAGAAGAACTTTTAAAACGACAACGAGAACGTGAAAGGCAATTTGAAGACAGTTTGATGCAATATAGACAATAGCAGTTACAAATCGAGGAGGCCCGAGAAGAATTTGCAAGAAATGCTATCAAAGCTTCAGCTAGAGCTGTTGCCATTGTGGAGGATCTTTACAAAAAACAACAGCAGGAACACTTTGGAGCTCTGTCAACGCTTGTGCAACAGGAAAATTTAGATGAAGATGGTATGACGCTCGAACAGATTAGAGGGAAATCAGAAAATACAAGAAAAATATCTACAGTCATGGGACATAAACCCTTTGGAACTGAATTAGATCATGACTCGTTTTTGGATGATAATAATCGACTTGTACTTGTTGTATGTGATCCCGTTATTACGAATACGTTCGAACGACACGTTGCGTCTACACCTAGTATTTCGGTGCCTGGAGCTTTAACTACAACAGTATTTCCATCGGTAAGCGAAAACATTCATATTAGTACGTCCGAGCCTCTCTGTACTGCTTGTGGTTGTAAGTTGAAACTTTAGAAAAATGTTGTCTATGACCTTCAAAAGGAAATTGCAGCATATCTAGATGTTATAGTATGTGAGACATGTTCTTATCATGCTAGCAAACAACGAACTAGTTTTTATGTTTTAGAAGATGAAAAACTTCCCATAGGTTCCGTGCCATTGAACATGCTTCAAAATAGTGTTACTGATTATTTAATTCGTAAAAAAGTTATATTGAACAAACAAAAAACATTTTACACCATGACTGAAGAAGAATTAATTCTTAATCGCTTGCAAAATATAGTCGATATAGAACAACAGAATATGAATATTTGTCCAACACATCGTTATACATATGGTACCGGTTTTCGGATAGACAATCATTGTTACCATCCAGATCATCAGAAGGAAAGACAATCGAAAAAGAAAACTTATAAAGTTGCAACATTACAACAATGCAATAATATTCCGTCGTTTCCTATTAGTGGTACACTATGTTCGAAATATCACACTAAAATGTATGCGCAAGATAATCTCACGACTATTTCACAACCGTCGATACCGAACATTATCAAGTCTGCACCAGGTTCTACTGCTTCTGTAGCAAGTGCTGAGGAACGTGTGACAAGTCGAGAAACAGCTAATAGTCTACTAGCAGTAGCTAATCTCAATCAATGTTCAGGAAATATGAACAAATCATGCACAAGTTTGGCTGCACACGTCACGCTGTTAAAGCTGCAAGAAGTTTACGTGGATCGACTACTACTCCATTACAACCTGAATCTCATGAATCAATTATATGTTCGCGTATCGATCCGTCACTTACAGAACACTTCATTAGCTGGTTAATTGAAACGGATCTGATGGCCTCAGTACTTTGGGGATATAGTCAGTTGCAACTTGACAGTAGTGGAAAATTGTCAATTCCAAAGCAAATCATTCAAGCAAAAAAGTCTCACGTTATATTACAATACAAACAACATTATCTTGAAAATAATTTTACACGATTATCAGATCGACAATTTAAACATGGAAGAACAGAAAACTTTATCCGGTATGGTCGATTTTGCCAAAGCGGCAAGAGACGGTTGGTTGATGTTAGAAAATATTGTGAAAAAGTTGAATATTTCGTCAAACGAACGAAAAGGGTATATCAATGGAATAACTAAAGCAAGTGTTTACCTAAAATCGCGTTTTCGTACTCATTGTAGTTCGAGCAGCACAATAAGTTCACATTGCACCGTTTTTGCATTAAGTCAGTCTGGTAGTTGTACTTATAGTGAAAAATGCGATCATGAACATACTTATTATTGTAAAGATTGCATCCAAATGGCTGGTTTATTAGACAACATCGTTGCGTGTATTCATGAACTTACCAATACCGAAGAGAAAAATGAAGTATTATATGATTTTAATCAAGCGCGCAAGGCAATCATCGAACAATGTCGGCATGTATTACGTTCGGTTCAACAAGACGCAGCAAAAGCCGAAGATATCAAAAGTTTGGATGAAGAAACAGCATATCTCACCATCGACTGGGCGCAGAAGGTCTTCTTCAAGAGTTTAGAGAAGGACAATCGAAATATTTTGGAAAACGGGGGATGTCCGTTTTGGTTGCATCCTTCATAATACAAGATTCAGACAAAGATAATTTAAATAGCTTTCATTATTGTTTCAATGCAAAAAGATAGTAATTAGCATTTATCCTTTTTCTTTTTTGTTTAGAAAAACATATTACCAAAACGTACATGTTAGCACTGACTCGATGCAAGCAAAATGAGTTTGATACTCTTAGCGGGGGCCAATTAGTTGTTGAACAATTTATCAAGGATCATCCATATATCAAAAAGTTGATTAAGCGGTCAGATAATGCCAGCGTACTTGGAGGACATTCAACAGCTGAAGCAGAAAAAATTCTACACGAGCAAGTGGGCATTACATTATTAGAACGCAATTATTCTGAAGTTCAGCATGAAAGGGATATATGTGATCGTTTGGCTGGTGCAGCAAAAATGCGACTTAAATCTTATGTGAATTCTGGTAATAATGTTTTGACTGTTCATGATATTAAACGTGGCTTTGATTATTGTGGTGGTATTAAAAATACCCGCGTTGCTGTCGCTGAAGTTGATAAAAGATTAAAAGCATTAGAAAAGTCACACATACCAGAAATAAGCTCAATACGAAGTGTTGAAAATGAAAAAGATGATATGATCATTAGAAAAGCATCCAATGTTGGGAAAGGATTCAAAGTACCGTTTCGGAATCTGCAAATTCAGCAGATTATGAAAATCATTGAATCATTTAATTCTCTTCAATATAGCAAACAACAACATACTACATCAAACAGTCAACGTAAAGATCGTCGTTGCAATGTTTTTTATTTTTGTAATAACAATGCATACACTAGCGTGTTTGAAAATGAAGATGATCTATTAAGCCACATTGCAAGTAATCAACATACAACTGTGGAACAAGGAACAAAAAGAACATCAGGGGACATAGCGCGTATGCAATTATTTGAAAAAATGCAGCAGACAAATATATCATCAAGAAGTTCTACTCAAGCAACGATAACAACAATATTCAATCAACCATCTATTCCGAAGCATATGGCCTATCTCAGTGAACAAGGATGGGCACTTCGAGTAAAACGTCAAGTAAAACAATTTGCACCGCAAGTGAAAAACTTTTTTGCAAAAAGTATTCGACGAAGGTGGTATATATGGTACAAAAGTATCAGCAGAAGAGGTTGTGAGACGAATGAGAACAGAAAGAAATTCACATGGTTCCAAAATCGTCACACCTGATCAATATTTAACGGAAAATCAGGTTAACAATCAATTCAAGCAATTACACTCAATAAACAAAAAAAGTAAAACTACAATGCAAGTTGACATCAAAGACTCATCACCTGATCGAGCGAAGCGAACTTTTACTCGTACATCAACCAGGTCAAGAAAAGCTATTTCAAATGGCGATATCGTCGATGAAAATAATGGTCATGGAAATATACCAATAAGAAGAAAGGCTAAACTTCCGGCTTCTCATTCAAAAAAGCATCGTTCGATTCTCGATAATTTCGATGAAGATGACGATATGTTATTATCCGACATCAAAAATACGTTTCAGAAAATGACACCGTTGGTTCAAAAACCACTAATAGCACATACAGATATCAGGGCAGAAAATAATGATTAATTTGACGATACGAGTTTATTCGAACGACGAAACCATTTGTTATCCGCAAAAACTCAACTACATGACACGGATAGTGATACCGACGTCGAAGACATCCGTGCTGTTGAACGACAAGATTACATTGAAAATCTCAAACAAAGAATTCTTTCCTAAACTATGCCTACTCGCCTAATACTATAATTTGGCTTCAATTGTGTAGAGCACTATGCATATAGAAACATTTTATTCGGTTTCTCACTCTGGATATTTAAAGTCCTGAACTGATACATCTATGTTTAGATAGAAGTTTATACATCAATATGTTAGAAAATATTAGATATAGAGATACAATACATCAAAAAACCTGTATAATGCAAACTACCTATCCTTTTATCTTTTTCCGACTTAAATAAGCACTTTTTCGTGACATATGCTTGTACATGTGCCGAATGACATCGACACATGTATATTTGAACTTTCCGAGTCTTGAGGTTTCATTTGAGATACTACAAGATTATATTTTGCGATGTTCATTTTTCGTCATTTCTGGGGTACTTCCGGCCGCTCCAGTTAATCTATCTATGAATATGCTTCAAAACGCAAGTTAGTGCCAGATAGTCCAAGTGGTGTAGTATACGACTGACTATGTTGGTTTATATAACAAGTGCCTTCGGACATAAAAATTGAATTTTTAAAATGCTTCATTTTCATTTTCTCTGAACTTAGAGATGGCCTCCACCCCTAGTGAACTATCTTTTTCAAATTAAAGCTATAAATTTGAGTAGAGCCATACGTGTTCTGCACAGTGAAACTCGTGTTTAGTCAAATACTTTTACTTTTCACAGAAAAATTTAGTCAAAAAGTACGTACATTATTAATATTTTCCAATTTTGCAGATACGATTTCGCACATGTGCGAAGGCCGAATCCACACATGTTTTTGGATAGAGGTAGTATGCGACATATGCTGCAAGTACGAACTCTAGCTCTACTGCGTAGACCAAAATATGCCCCCTGTAAAATGCAGTTTCCGACACATACTGTTTTTAGCGGTTTTTAGGGCTTTTACGAAAAATATTGTAAGTCCAAAAGGAAGCATTATCTGGTCAAAAAATTTTGGGAATCTTCCTAAATATATTGCCTCTACTACCCATAGGAATTTGAACCAAAAGTTCCAACATCGATTGAGCAGCACATAAGGAAATCGGGCGTTCTTTCCGTGCAATGGCTCTTACGCTTAAGGAGCTATACGCATTTTCCCGACAGCCCCGATTTGGGCCAGTTGACCTTGGGTGATCCTAAAATGGGTCAAGATAGGAATAATCGGGCACGCTGAGTCGAGTGGTGATGTTTATTTTTAGTTTCAAACAGATCTAAAGTCACTATATCAGGATTTTGAAATTAAAGCATTCTACCGCTATGTTGCGTATAGAGCGGATATTTCGAAAATCCTGATATAGTGACTTTAGATCTGTTTGGAACTAAAAATAAACATCACCACTCGACTCAGCGTGCCCGATTATTCCTATCTTGACCCATTTTAGGATCACTCAAGGTCAACTGGCCCAAATCGGGGCTGTCGGGAAAATGCGTATAGCTCCTTAATCGTAAGAGACAGACAGTTACGAACCTAGAATTGTAGATCTCGATTCGGGCTATTAATTGCACTGTTTGAAAATCAAAATCTATCGTACGGTCCAGGAACGGTGGTCTCGTAGTAAGTAAGTAAGTTAGACCCGTACCGTTTCCAGTGTAGGGTGAAAAACAAAATCCAATGCACAAATTAAAAGAAAAATATAGTGTCTTTGGTAAACGTTTATAAGTCGCTGTAGTAAGATAAGCCAATGTACATCGGGTCATTACCCTCCAGTGAACTGGCTTAAATAGTGACCGTCATAAACTTCCGACCCATCCTACATCAGGTATTCCACAATCGATAATGCTGCAACTCCCAATCATAAAACTCCACCAGCATTTTCTACACCTTCAAGCTGCACCTCTGGTACCAGATGGAAATGCCGTCGGCACCAATTCAAATGTACGACTCTTTGTGTGTCGGTTTTCCACATGATTTTACTCTTCGCTGCAGCTCGTAGACTCTGCATCGAAAGGCTTACCATGGTAAACCTTATCTGGAAGCCTATGGTTCTCTAACATGGTTCTCTATCCAACGGTGAAAACCGCATGTCTCTAGCTCTGTTCCTTCAAAAGTTATAAGCAATCTACCCAGTCGCCTTTCTTTTTTAAAACGATAATAGCATTCTAATCTAATTTAACAGTGACACAAACATTTAAGATTATTACATTATTACATTTAAGAAATTTCCTTTTCATGTTGCTTCATTCTGTTCCAAAGGCCTATTTTCGTCTCACCGTTGTACACACTTTTGCAGTCACAAGAGATCTGATAAACGACAGAATTGGATTGACGTCTAATCGATGAATT